CAGGCAGGGAAAGGCATTCCAGAGAAAAGGAAGAGCAAGCAGTGTGTCTGTAATAGTGACCCACGCCTACCCGGGGAAGTTCTACCATCACTAATATGGGGAAGTGGGCCCACACAAAAGGCATGAACTCTCCTAAAATCGGGAGAGGACACAGAGAGAAATGAATGCTAGGTGACGATATCTTTGTATAATCCACCTAAAAGAAAATATTAAACCAATTAGTGCTAAAGGTTTTGCCCAGGGAGCATTCATGAGTCTTTAATGGTTCAATGAAAAGAAGTCACGAAAGACACTTTAAGATGAACGCTCAGTTATGGGAAGGAAATTAGAAAACATGGAAATGTGGAAGTCAAACTTGGAAGAGGTCACTGAAGAAGAAATTGATAGCCAGAGTGTCAATACATGCATGCAGGTTAAGGGAAGCAGGATACCAGCTGCAAGGAGTTTACCGGGAAGGATTTCCCAGGCCATTTTTGTGGTCTATAAAAGTAGAAAGCAGGCAAGATGTTTAGAGAGCTGGGTAAGTTAAGTCACATGGAAGCTGCGAAAATTTCTAGAACAAATAGTAGGGAGATATGGGGTAGTACCTAGAGGGGACAGATGTGTTCATTAGTGATTTCTTTACATTCTAGGTGATGTGAACCTGCTGAAATGCTGCAGGGATTCCAGGCAAGTTAGCTTGACAGTGAGAACAGATACAAAGAGAGGAGGAGGTGTGTGTGTGTTGTGGGGAGGGGGCAGCGAGGGGATTTTTATTGTTCTGAGATAGGTCTAAAATGAAGGAGAGTATATCAATCAGTACAGGCTAACTGCTATAATAAATAACCACACAATTTTGCAGTGACTTAACCCAAGAAGATTTATTTCTTCACAGTCCAATACAGTTTTCTTGGGAGGGGAAATTATCAGCTCTACACAGTCATTCAGGAGCCCTGGCCTTCTTCCATCTAGTGACGCCTCCATCTATTAGATCCTAGGAGTCCTACCATGAATCCTCTACAAACGGCCAAATGGCAAAAGAAAGCTCTGGAGGATTGTGTTAATAGTTCCAGTTTCAGGAGCGGCACCTGGGAGTGGCTTATTCTACTTCCACCCACTTTCCATTTACCAGAACTCAATCACAGGGCACAGGGCAAACGACTGCAGGCATGCTGGGACTTGTCATTTAGCTGGATGCCTAGAAGGAAGGAAAATGGGATTGGTGAAGCCATATCACCAACTCGAATCCAGATGGATACAGAATATTCTTTAGCTCAGATCGGGGGGTATATTAACTGCCTAGGGAGACGGAACAGTTCGATTCATTAAAGCATAAAATAGGACATATAATTTTCCTGAACCCTTACTCCAGGGCCAATTTTAAAGGAAGTTTGAGCCAAGGGCCTGTTCAGTAAAATTTGGAGAACAGTTTTTCGTATAGTGCCAAAGAAGCAACAGAGAGAGAGAGAGAGAGAATACACCAGATGGCACTAGCAGAAAGGATCACATATATTTGACTGACTCCTAATCACTCCCCCATAACTTTTTTCCCATACAAATTCCTCACACCAGGAAATGTTCGTTTAAAACAATAAAAAAATCCTTCAGGGAACCCCCGCCCCAATCCCTGCCACCACATGATTAGCCCGGGGGGCTCACACGCTGAAATCTATAGAGAGCTTTAGGTCTCAGAGTATTTGAAGGATAGGCAGGGCTCTCACCACCTTAACACAGAAGCAGTCCCACACCCCAGTCAAGGAACCTTGGACACTATCTCTTGATACCTTTTGCCTGAGGCAAAGGAGAAAGAGAACTGCACAGCTGTCCTAAACAAGTAGGGTATAAGACCTCTGTCTTCCACCAAGAATAATAATAGATAGCCTTGATTGAAAGCTCACTGTGTGTCAGACACTATGCTTACATGTATGAACTCACAACAATTCAGTGAGGTAGCCCCTGTTATTATCTCTTTTTTACAGATAAGGAAGTTTCCTGATGCCCACAAAGGTTCAATAACTGACTCGAGGTTACCCAGCAATAAATGTTGAAAAAGAGTTTAAATTAGTTGGCTTTCAGAGTTTGTGTTTTGGACAACTATATTCTACTTTTGATAGCACTGTACTTTCTCATTGTAAACGCAGGCAGGATGGAGTAAAAAATAAAAGTCAAAACAATTTGAAAACAATATTTTGTGATGAGCATAAAACGTTTTCTACAATCAGCAGCCCTCATTCGATTGGTATATTTCTTACTTTATTATCTGATAATTGCCAAAAGATGACAAAGTGTAGATGTATTTTCCTTAGTTTACTTTCAGCTCCCTTTATTTCAAGCCTCACAGTCAATGTGTTCCCTGCCTTATGTTTCAAGGTGGCTCCGGGTTATTTTTCCTCCCATGTGATTACAAAAGCAGTTAGCCTTTTAGCCTAGCAGGGGGAATGAGAGGAAAGGGAGAGGCAAAAATTTTTAAACTTTAGGCACTATATATCCAATAACTGACAACATTTTATCTTAATTATGCTTTATAGTATTGGAATACTAAACAAAGAGGAACGACCTGCTTACTCTGTAGTCTGCAGCAGAATGAAACAGAACACATGGGACAGAACACAGCAAATGAGCTGTAAATGTTTGTGCACAAGGTTTGATCTTGGGGATGGAGGGAGGATTTTTTTAAGTTATTCAAATACTGAGTTGCTTTCAAAGAGTTCTTCTCAGACATCAATAATGAACTCTTCAGATACCCTCATCCCAGACAGCCCTGAAGTCCAGTTTATAACAAGACCAATAACTCACTTCTTGATCTCTAAAGCTGCTTGTTCAATTCTCTTGACTTCAGAGCCAAAATGAGTTGTTTATTACTCATGGCAAGTATTAAAAAGGCCATCTCAACCTGTGGTCAGTTCCATGAATGACAACTTGTTTTCTGATAACTTGCAAGCACATGGACAATAGCCAAATTTCTAAAAAGATTTAGGTACATCAAATGTATACAGATGATCACTTAAAACCATTTTTTTTTCCAGTAATATTTTAGCATCTAATTTGATAAATCACTGCATTTGGAGGCTGTGGGGGTGTACAGAGACCTTCAGAAAGTAAACATAAACTGGAGGCTTAGTGGTTTGAAGATATTCAAGCAGAAAAGTCTAGCAAAGAAAAAGGGGGGTTGTAATATGGATCAGCCTCCATGTAACCTTGAGCCAATCAGTTAACTTATCTGGAACACCAGTTTTCTCATTTTATGAAACAAGATTTTATTCAATAAACACTATAATCTAGTGAAAGACTGGATCTGGTATCCCATAGGCTTGGATGGATTGCTGGCATTAGTATTGGAGATTTTGTTTCCCTGTTTGTTACAATTTGGATATTAGTGAGTACCCTACAGATGAACAATGATTAAATTGTCTACTTAATTTACTCTTACGTGCCTGCCCATGTATAAGTGTCAGTACAGGCTGTTTTCATTTTTACTATTACTGATGGAACCCACTGCACGGCTAGCATTGGCAAAGAGGCTCAGAATACAAGGTTGTGCAGAATGCAAGTCTACTCTCAACAAATTCATTTTGTAGGGAAGAGATGGGGGGGTTCAACTAGGAAGCATCAACTTCCTCACTGGGAAAGAAAAGAGGCTTCATAGAAAAGCTGCTGGAGTCCAGGCTTAAAGATGAGTAGCGCTGGGACCAGAACCAGATGTCTAAGAACTCTTTGAGGCTTAATGTTAGGAAGTTTTGAAACGATTGGTCTAGAATGTTGTATATACGAAGTTCATTTTTTCAACACCCAATATTCAGAACACATTCATTCATTAACTTTCCAACCAGAAATGTAATCATTAACTACTGCTGGACCCCCCTTTCCCACAAAACCAAACAAAACTTGCTTAGCAATCCCAATTCTGAGGTTTGGAAAACACTTTTAGGACCTACTCTCTGCTTGCATGTATGAACTCATATACATGAGTAGTGAGGTATTCCTCTTATAGTCAGAAAATCGGTGACCAGTATCATAGGCACAGCCGGGGAATGGACTGGCCAAAGCTCAGGCTTTTGAGTGGCATTTGACCCCAAACTCCTTTTAAACCGGGCATGAGCTCTGGGTCAGCAGCCTCACTCCAGTCAAAGAAGAGGAGCCAAACTTCGCAGAAGCAATTTCAAAGACGTCTGGGAAAGGCTCTTTGATCCAAGGACCAGCCTAGGGGCCATCAGGAACCAAGGCTCTGGGGGATCCCAGCAGGGCCCAGTCGCCCGCCTCGAACAATGTCGCTGCCTGCCCCGGACCGCTCGCAGTGCCTGGGCCACACTGGGGTGTCCTGGGGTTTCTTCTGCATACCTAGACTCAGCTTCGCCGCCCGAGTCTGTCTTCCTGGAACACGGAACGCGGGCGGACTGTGTTCTCAGTCACAATCAGCTCGCATGACCTGGGGGCGTGGGCACAAGCTTGTAGCAGCGCCTGGCAGAAAGCGCCGCGCACCCCGCCTGTGCACACACCTCCGCTCCCGGGGGCGGCGCGCGGTAGGGTGTGCGGGGGACGGGGCGGGGCGGAGCGGAGCGGAGCTCACTGGAGGCCCGCCCCTGCTCCCCTCCCCCGCCGGCGGAGATTGACAGGGCTCGGGCACCCGCCCCAACCAATGAGCGCGTCCTGGGGCGGGCCCTGGAACCGGCTGCTCCGGCTACTTAGAGTCGTCGGCGCGGCGGTGGGAAAGCAGAGCCGAGCCGGGACTGTCCAGTGGGAGCAGGCGGGCCGGCCAGCGCAGACCTGGTGGCGCACGGGCGCCGCACTGCACGGTTCAGCGAGGGGTAGAGCGGAGCCGCAGCCCCACGCGCAGCCCAGGACCCACTCGCCACCGCCGCTTCCGCAGCACCCATGGGGACCACGAGACTTTAAAGGAGTTTGGGGTTTCGGGAGCAGGGAAATCACGGGTAGGGAGAAGCGGCTTTCTTTGCCTTGGAAACGGTTTTTCTTCGTCCGATTGTTTGGATCCTGTGCTGGGTAGGAGGGAAAGGGGTCTTTGGGCTAAAAGTGGACCTCTCTACACACACATGCTCCCACCCACACCCACACACATACACTGCACAGGCTTTCTCCATCCTTCCCCTGCCTCTTTGTTAGGTTATTTTAGACAGAGCAGCCTCGCCCTGGCGCAGTCCGATTGGCCCTGATGGGGACAAGGCAAGAGAAGTAAGGGGCAGAGTGCACCTGCCGGTGAGGGCAGGTGTGCCCGGGTGCTTGGGCGTACGTGCAACGGCGAGCGTGCAAGTGTGGAGCTGAAATTGTGTACGAATGTGTGGAGTCTAAGTGTGCCAGTGTGTCGTCGCGAAGGTTTGTCATTGTGGGTGTATGTGACATTATACACCAGTATACCAGCTTGCCAGTATCTGGACTCCCAAGTGTCCAAAATGTTGCTGGTGTCAACTGAATGCCTGAGAATGTGTCCGATTGTCATTGTGCGAGCCACTGTAAGGGGAGGAAGGCAACCTAGTGCAAAACTGGGAGGTGGGCTGGAGAGGGTGAGGACAGAAATGGGAGCTTAGCTTGCTCCCAGCTCACTGGCCTTAGGCTCCCTTCTCCCTTTCAGCCCACCCCTCCGTCCTTCCTGGGCGTCCGTCTCCCACGCTGCCACAGTCAGCGCTGTCCTCCCCACTGGGACCCCGCAAGCTCTCCAGCCAGCTTGGGTGTTTTCTTCTGGGAGTTGGACCGGGTTCCCGGAAGGGGTCGGAGGCTATGTCTTGGCGTCTGCTCTCGCCGGACCGGTGGCGGCTTCTCTGCCCCTCCTAGCCTGGGGGAGTCACGGAGGACTGGGCCGGAAAGGGTGACTCCGGTGAGGACACGTAGGCGAGCCAGCAGGTCCCAGGGGCACTGCACGTCTTGGGGAGGGACACAGAAAGGGGCAGCCAGGACTCTGACGGTGTCTCTGTCTCTCTGTGCCTCCGCAGATCCCCGCTCCTGGCCCTCACCTCGCCACCTCATTGATGGGCAACCAACTGGACCGCATCACCCACCTCAACTACAGCGAGTTGCCCACAGGGGACCCGTCGGGGATTGAGAAGGACGAACTGCGGGTCGGGGTCGCCTATTTCTTTTCGGATGATGAGGAAGACCTGGACGAACGCGGGCAGCCCGACAAGTTTGGCGTGAAGGCTCCCCCGGGTTGCACCCCCTGCCCGGAGAGTCCCAGCCGCCACCACCACCACCTGCTGCACCAGCTGGTCCTCAACGAGACTCAGTTTTCCGCCTTTCGGGGCCAGGAATGCATCTTTTCCAAAGTGAGCGGCGGGCCTCAGGGCGCCGACCTGAGCGTCTACGCGGTCACCGCGCTGCCAGCGCTCTGCGAACCCGGAGACCTGCTGGAGCTGCTGTGGTTGCAGCCCGCCCCGGAGCCGCCCGCGCCCGCCCCACACTGGGCCGTCTACGTGGGCGGCGGGCAGATCATCCACCTGCACCAAGGCGAGATCCGCCAGGACAGCCTATACGAGGCGGGCGCGGCCAACGTGGGCCGGGTGGTGAATAGCTGGTACCGCTACCGCCCGCTGGTGGCCGAGCTGGTGGTGCAGAACGCCTGCGGCCACCTGGGCCTCAAGAGCGAGGAGATCTGCTGGACGAACTCGGAGAGCTTCGCCGCCTGGTGCCGCTTTGGCAAGCGGGAGTTCAAGGCGGGAGGGGAGGTGCCGGCCGGCACGCAGTCCCCGCAGCAGCAGTACTATCTCAAGGTGCACCTGGGAGAGAACAAGGTCCACACTGCCAGGTTTCACAGCCTGGAAGACCTCATCCGCGAGAAGCGCCGCATCGACGCCAGCGGCCGCCTGCGAGTGCTCCAGGAGCTCGCCGACCTCGTGGACGACAAGGAGTAGCCGCCTAGGGGCTGCCGGCCCCTGTGCCTCCCCACACTTCGCTCCCTTCCCTTCCCCGCACCCGGACTTCGCAGTTGGCGGTTCTCAACCCCTGTCCCCCAAGCGCGTCCGTTGCGGGTGTCCCGGGCCCGGGCTGCACCCCCGCACCCCCCAGCCAGCGGCAGGCAGTCTCAGGAACTGCCCCAGGGCCGAAAGGGCGCCGCTGCGCGCGCCTGGCCGACAGCCACGGTGGTGGTGACGGTGCTGGGAGACCCCGCGTGCGCTTTCCCCTTGAGATGTAAACCGGGAACGGAGAAGGGGCTGAGGGGAGAAAGGATATGGCCTCCCCCACGAGTCCATGGGCAGTGACTGTGGCCCGACCCGAAAACGACCCTCTTCTCAAAAGGGACCATCACCGCCCCGAGCGCGCGCACAGAGACCGGTCGGAGGCGAGAATTGGTCTTTTCAGGGCACAGTTCAGCTCCTCTGTGGATGCGTCCCCAGATCGCAGGATTTCCAAGAAATCGAGCCTGTCCCTTGTGCACTTGGGAATAATTCCCCAAGACAGCACTTCGGGATTCCGGGTTATCCTGAGGCTGCCCGGGACTTTTCCAGCTCTCCAGCCCCAGGTCTCCTGACATTGTGTTCCAGGCTGCGGGCTAAGCCAGACAGTGTTTGCCTCCCGTTCTTTCCACCGAGGGAAGCGAACGCCACCCCCACCCGCCTTTGCCTCCAAGTCTCCCTCGCTGGCAGAAGGGAAGCCGACCTGGTCCCGGGAGGAAGATGGCGCAGCGATTTCGGTGAGGACAGCCGGCCCCGCCCCCGACAAGGAGCTCCCTCGTTCACCTGGTGTCTGGGAACTTGAATGTGTGAAGGGCGCTATTGTTCTGAACCCTTGATTGCTCCCTCCTCGGGCTGCGTTTCAAAAATAGTCATATTTTTAAAGGAGTTGGAGGAGAGGGAGGGGGAGGACATGGCACCATTCCAGAAACCAGCATTATTACAACACCATAGCCAGTATATTTAGTTTGGCTTTTCCTAACATAGAAATCTTCAAAGGTGGGGCAGTGGAAATAAAGTTTTAAAAATGAGAGAGCAGTTTTCCAACTATGTCAACAAAGCCTATCGTGTTGATGTTTTTATTGACCATTTTAGCAACATGCTAATAAAATTTCAAATTGAAATTTTTATTTTCATGGCTTTAATCCATGATAGTTTAAATATTGGGGGCCATTAAGAGTGGATGTAGCTAAGAGCTTAGCTAACATTGCCTTTTCACTCTATTTTTCTCAAATATTATAAGAATTCTGTTTTTGAATATTGTTAATTTTTTGGCTTTCAACAGCAGCCCTAGTAATGGTGGAGTTGTTAATTAATGTGTATATTGTACTGAATTTCTGTCAGTTAAGGGGTTCACTGCTTTGGTGGAAATTGGTGGAAATTGCTAGCAGGTTCCATGATGTTTATTTTCTCCATGTTGTATATCATTACCATTTCACATTTGCATTTCTATTTTTCTTCCTCTCCTCCTGATCTCCTTAAAAATGAATCTAGAGTTGGTGGCTTTTTCCCCCTCCTCTTTAGCCAGTTCCACAGTTCAGTTCTTCCTGAAAACAGGGAAGAACTTGTAGGATCAGGCAAATGTGTGTTTTTCAAAAACTTAGGGCTGGGTGTGAAACCCCTTCTGTGGACAAGGATTTGTAAACTTCTCTCCTCCCGCTGTGGCCCCAGCCTAACTGATAGTTACTTGATTCAGTGTGTTAGACACTTATAGCATCTATGTCTCTTTCAAGGGAATTTGTCAAATAACGCTGTTTAACTAATTGTTGCAAGCAATTGCATATTAACAGCTGTGATTTGATTGGACAGCAAGTATTATGGCCAAAGCCAGTTTCTTGGCATTTCAAAAATAATGCAATAAAAACTAGTTGAGGTTAGCTGAGACTGGAAATGCTTTTTTCATGGTACATGATTCACTTCTATTTTTTCTTTCTTTTTCTTTTTTTTTCTTTGGTTTTCATCCTGGATTCATCCCCTGATCTTAAATCAAAAGGTCAGATCAATGAAATATGAACTAAAGTATTTTTCTTAAGCCTATTGAGTGATTTATTTTTAAAAAAATGTTTAAACGCATATGCTTTTCTTTCAGCACAAACAGCAAAACTTTTGTAATAACTAACTTACCTTTGCATGTATGAAGAACTGAAAGTCATTTATTTCCCTAACTTTTTCCTCTTTCAAATAACAGGTGACAGATCATAAAATGAATTCTTTATTGTATCTACACACTCCACATTCTTTACCGTGTCCTACTACTGTATCTTGGCTCCCTGCTGTATTAAACACCATCTTAAGCACTTGTTCCTGCAGGACTCCTTCTTGACATTTTGTCTTCCACCTCAAAGTCACTCAAAGGGTGGGACTTCATCAAAAGAAATGAATTATTCTCTATCACACCAAATACTAAGATTTATTTCCTCTGATGGTACACAGATTTCTCCCTCACTAAGAGGGTCACTCTCATAGAGGAATGTCTTGTCAGTTTTATACTTGCTAAGGCTAGACTGACAATAAAAATGAGTTGGGCAGTTCAATTAGCATTCGTTACTATATTGGCCTATAAAGGATTGGGTTGATGATAATACCTCTACAAATATGCAATAACAAAACAATAGTTATGAAAGAAACTTGAAAGTTTTGCAAGGTTTCTCATATTCCTGTTGAAATTATCATTTATTATCTCTTTGTCAATGTTAGTAAGGTAACCCATGACAGAATAATTTGAGTGATAGTTCATGATGCAGAGGATATGATCACGATATTACCTAATGGTTTTATCCTGGAAAAGGTGTATATTTTTAGGACATTGTTAACAATGTGAGTGAAACCAAGATGGTGCAAGTTCCCTTTCCAGATGGCATGGGCACACTTGATTTTTATTATGAGTGAATGTAATCTTTCTGTATTTTACCAGTTACAGAAATTACCTGAAAAGTTTCCTAACATTTTAATAATGTTAGGGGTTTAGTTTTGGTTTTAGTTGTCCTCAAGAGACCACAGCTTCACAGTAATTTCCACGGTGTTGGGTGTGGCTAAGTTGGGGATTGGCTCTGTTCTGCCTGCTCCAGTGTAGAGAACAGCTATATTTATACTGCATTCTTTCTCAACTTTCAGGTAGTAAAAACAAACTATGATTTAACAAAAGAAAAAGAAAAGACAGGTACTTTTACTTCAAAGAGTGCTTTGGTCCACTTTTATTTAAACCAAAAATCAAATAAAATAAGGAGGAGGGCTGGGTATACTTTAAACAAAACCAGTCCTGAAATGCTGTTATTCTCAAAGTACATTCCAAAGAAAAAAAAGTATAGAATTTACATATGTTGCATTTTTAAGTATGAGTTAAATTGATATAAAGTGTTCCTCAATATTAAAAAATGTAAGCTATTGTAATGACAGTATTTTAAAAAAATAATAATATATATATAGTTAGGAAACGCTTGTGCCAGATTAGAACATCAAGCATAGAAGCAGCTGTATGATTTACTTGTTTTTTTTTTTAACTTTAATGTTTACCTTCCCCTATGTTTAATTTTTCTGTGGTGAATACTTTTGTTAGAACATGGCTTTTTTATTTTTCTTGGAAAAATATGCTATTAGTATTTACAAAATAATGATTTACCTGAATAAGCAGTATATACTAAAAGTCTTCAAACATACTTTATTGACTACTTATGTTTTGTGGTGCGCTTTCAACATCCCTAAGAGTTAAATGTTTTAGTCATCTAATAAATGGAACAGGGTCAAGTTCCAATGAAATTAATACTAATTGCACAATCATAATACAGCAACCTAATTTTCTTTTATTCATAGGCATATCTTTAAAGCTTTCTTTTCTTTTTTGAACAAATGAAGAGAATCCAGTTAGTTTTTGCCTTTCAGAGGTGATTTGCCACGTGCACAATGGGTCTGTAGGTGAAAAGACAGGCTTTTGTGTTGCTTGAAACATCAAAAACTGAATTTAGAGAATGGTTATCTAACACTCAAGTCAATGTATTTTTTTTTTTGAAATTACTAGCTGTTGGTATAATATGCATATATGTACATGTTTACATATACATAAACATGTGTACATTTACATATATGTAAGTACACATTCATATACATATATACACATGTATATATATCTGTGTACACATAAATTTTTGCCTATAGCTAGCAATTATTTCATTCAGATACACACACACACACACACACACACATACAGGCTACTTAAAAACAAAATGGAGAGTGACTTGAGATATACAAAAACAGGAAAAAAGCCCTGGCAGTCATATAGCTAATGTATAACTGGACAGCAAGCAGCTACTCGTAAAGCTAACAATAAACAAAAAGAAAATGTGGGAGTTATGCAATTAGTTTTATTCTCATTTTTGGAAAAATATGTTCCTGATTTCTCTAAAAAGAAAAAAATTCAAAGGAAAGCTGTAAATATTAGGAAGTAACTGAAAACTAAGAAGAAAGATAAAGTGGGGAGGCTATGAGATGATATAATGAACTAGTAAGCTTTTCTACAGGGGACACCTGTTCTCCCTTCTAACTGAAGACACCAAAGAGAAGCTAAGATCCTATCTTTCAAACATTTAGTAATTTATAAAATCCCATTATTTCATAACTCAAAGTTTACCTTTGAGGTTGTATGTTTACCTCATTTGAACTTGAAATAGAAGAGGTTTAAGTATTTGAATAAGTTGGGAAAAAAAAGGAAAAATAGTCTTCCCCGATCTTGTCACTGATGGTGACACTGCTTGTAGTTACTGTATTTTTTGGCAGAACACTCAGATGAATGGCTTCCTATGCTGTGGACTTTTATCATCTTTTTGATGGCTGATAGAAGAAGCACACAGTAGGTACTCCATAAATGTAAGACTATGGCAGCAGTCTAGTACAAGTGCTTCTCACTAATTCTTAGTTACCAGGAAAACCAGAAAGCCCATCACTTGCCTTGCCTGCAAAGGTGAGACTAAAGAAATTTCTCTAAGCAAAATTGGCAGGGTCTTTCCACCTCAAAAGGCTCATGGAAGTACACCTTATGGGGCTTAAGGCTAATTTCAGTTGAAGGGTATATGGAATATTTGATTTGCTTCTAGCAGAGAAAACAAAGAATCCAGGAAAAGCAGAAAATGTTCTCTTGTCATTCAGTCAGAAAGGGAAAAGCAAACTCATAGTTCCAACTGTAACTTTCATAACTTCATCTCTCATTCACCCGAGGGAGAGATTTTTCTCACATGAAATCACAAGATTATTCCTTCAGAAGGAAGCTTATTGTAGCTCTTGTTAAAAATTTTCTTCGGTTTATAGGAATATATTTATTAGATGTACACTTAACTCTGGGAAAATTAGGTTTGATGGAGTTTGGTCATGGGTGTTTTTCTAAATACACATTACTCATTGATGTATTAAAATATTAAAATAATTGCTATGCCTCTTGGCTTTTATAATTCAATTCTTAATAAGAATATGAGTTCTGAACTATATTTTGTCCAAAGGGTAGATGCCTATGAAATATTAGGTATTAATAGAATCATATATTAAAATATTAAAATAATTGCTATGCCTCTTGGCTTTTATAATTCAATTCTTAATATGAATATGAGTTCTGAACTTTATTTTGTCTGAAGGATAGATGCCTATGAAATACTAGGTATTAATAGAATCAATGTCCTAAATTTCAAGCATAAAATGAATGCTTCAAAAGTTACTTTGAGCATCATTTAATGTTTCAAAAAATTGAAAAAGCTCATATAAGGCTATTGCTTATATGTGTCCTAAGGAAATTCTTGCCATCAGTGTGTGATATAGACATTAATGTTCTATTTGAGAGCTTCTTTATTATAAGTACACTGACATTTGCTTTAGCAAGTAAGTTATTATTCTAAATTCAGTTATTTTCCCCCATGACAGTCCTATGACATACCAGCTCTTTGCTTACTTCCAAGTCCACTGTAGATTTCAGATTCTGCAAGGGGGTGAGCAGATCTAGGGATATCATGCCCGTGATGACTTTGAAAAACATCTCTCAACTCCCAATAGCACTCGCTTTATTTCTTCCCACCTTTCGCTTCTCAGTGCAAGTGTCTGCCCAGGGGGTCTGAGCTAAAAGGAAGCAAGGCTCAGAGGTAGGACTGCCAGATATAGCAAATAAAAATATAGGATTCTCAGTTACACTTGAATTTCAGATAAATTATTATTGATTTTAGGATTATTGTGTTAGAATAAATATGTTCCCTGCAATATTTAGGTTGTTTGTACTAAAGCTTATCTGTTTATCTGAAATTCAAATGTAACTGCATGTCCAGTATATTATCTGGCAACCCGTCTCAAGGATAACTTTATCAACTCTAAGAAGCAACAGAGTCCCCTGACTTTTTGGAGCTGGCAAAGGACACACCCCCTACCCACAGCATTGAGGTCCTGTGAGATTTTCCATGTGTCTTTTAAGGCCATAGTCAGATTCAGGCCCAGGAATGAGCACATTGTGCAGGAGAAGCCTCAGAAGAGTTCACAGCCCCCACGATCATTGAGAGAGACTTGGTTGTGTGTATGTGTGGGTGCAGAAGGGTAGGTGTTTCTTTTACTTTCTTGATTCTATTTTATAGGAGACACCATCCTTTACCTGGGGTTATGATGAATACTTTCCTAGATATAGTCAGGAATGCTGTATGCTACTGCTTTTTATCCCACCTGCTATTTATTCCAATCTGGATTTTCACTTTACACCTGGCTATTTCTATAGCTTCCTCACCTGTCGCTACCCCTCTAGCTCTTCTATCCGAACACCTGTGTCTATAGCGCTGTTTCTAACCACAGAGTCATCACTGCCAAGTAAAGGCTGAGCTCCTTAGTGGGGCAGTCAGCGTCTTCCGTGGTCTGGCCCCTATCTTCACCAACTTGCATTTCCTTCAACTCTCAGCTTACACTCGGGCCACACAGGACTTTTTGTAGAACATGTAGTTTTCATTCATACTTTCTTGGCTTTCTATGTTGTCCCCTTAACCTGATTACCATTCTAAATTCCTGAACAGCAAACTCTTATTCATTTATGTTTTATGGCTGGGCTCCATGCAAGCCCCTCAGGTGGCTTTAGTCATTTTCTTTTGTAGTTCCCACTGTAGTTTGTTAACACCCCCAGACTCTCTCTTCAACTACAAATACCATTTATGTCTGTCTCTTCCTAGGTCTATTGGGGAAGGCTCTGTGACTTGCTCTTTTTTGCTGCTGGTAAGTCTAACACTTGCAGTAGGTGCTAAATGAGAGTCTATTCACTCAGTGGAGGAACTGGGGAAGGTATGTGAGGAATACTGCCCAGCATCTCTCTAGGAGGTAAACCATGGTAGGAATGGGCTAACTGTGCGTATCAACTTATACAAGATTCTCCTTAAGAACCATACAGTAGAAATTTAGTTTCTATTTAGAAAATAAGCTGGAATGATGTGAACCTTCATTGTGGTATGTTATACTGCAAGTGATGGGAGATTAGCTATACAGAGTTTAAAAGATTTCTCCATCCTGGGTATACTGGTACAAACATTTCTTCTTGAATGAACTTTATGAGTTTCATTACTATGGAAATACATATTTTTCTCTTCTTGGTCATTTAATTTCTGCCCAGGTGAAGTAGCTTTGGGTGTTGCAAATTTCGAAGGCACCTGAGGTTTGATTTGCAAGAATTAAAGATGAGACCAGACATTTCTTGAATAGATCACTGTAGTGAATGGGCTGTAGACTGCCAGAGATGTTCAGTCAGTGAAGAAAGAGTCTCCTGAAAACCCAAGTACTTTTGGAAAGTAAAATCTCTCCCAATCTTAATAAGCAAATTCACCTACATTCACCCACAGCACGTATTGGGGGACAAAAAAAAAATCACTTTGCCTGACCTTCCAGTAGGGGGAGCAGAAGAAAAACAGCCTCCTCTGATTGACGGTTGGACCTCCAGGCTGGTTGACAGCTAGAATAATTTGAAATGCAATTGAGCACTGAGAATGTAACTACATTAATGTCTTATGAAATATATATGCTTTTATATTGATGTGTTCCTTGGAACTCCTAGGAGGAGCACCCCTTACTTTTGTAGGGAGGTATTATCTTAGCACCTCTGGACATTTAATTTAGTTTAATCTGGTTCTGGACATGGTTAAGCTTACCTGTATCTAAGACAAGCTACTTTAACTTGGGATTTTAAACCATGATATCCTGTTAAGAAAAAAAGTGTCAAAATTCTAGAGAACTTCTTTAGAGTGAAATATTATTACTAATTTGGGATTCGAATCCAGGTAAATAGCGGTTCTGGTAAAACATTGCTTTTGCCCTGAGAGCAATTTCCAGAGTAGACAGTGGAGGAGATTTTTCATTATGCAGCCTCACTATTCTGATGTCAGAAATCAGTGCCCTTTGCATGTGTCTGCTTTATTTGTATATAATTTTATAAGACAGGATCTATGAAAGAAAATGGGAGGAGAGGTAGTTACTCCATCCTTTACAGGCCAACAAAACAAAGGCTCTAAACCCAGATTAATTCTGCCTATGTTACTTCCTTACAGCCTTTAAGGGCTTTCTATAACTCATAAGATAAAACCCAGACTCCCTGGCAGCACGCAAGCTCTGCTCCAGTCCGTCCCGTACTCCCCTCCTCCAACCCCAGCTCCCCACCTCTGAAGCTTTGCCCCCTGATCTTCACAGCACATTCTCACTGGGAGGCATCTGTACTGGACCACCTACCTTTCCCCAAAAGCCTAGTGATTGTATGCCTTTGCTCAAGCTGTTTCACTTGTATGGAACGTTCTTCTCCTCTCCTTGGCACATGTAAAAGTCCTGCTCCTCCTGAGTCCTGGTGAGAACCCTGTTTACTTACCAGCTGTTCTGTGAAGCTTCTCCTTTTCCTGCAACATCCCCTACAAAAACAGCTAAAACTAGCCAAATTCATCCCTCTCCCATTTGAACTTCTGGTGTAGCACTTTCTTCAAACATTTAATGATCATGCCATCCATTTAATATTCCAGTTTTCATCCCCTAAACTATGTCAAACATAATCTATTTAAGTTAATGAGAACCTGATTGCCTTCTGAAATAAGTGTGAGGAAGGTGTCTTGGCACTTTGATCTTTGATTGGTTAATAACTAGTATCTGGTCCTTAGTAGGTCCTCAATCAATGCTGACTTAATTATCTGAATCTAATTTAATTCAAAAACAACTATTCTAGAAAAAGAACAGTAAGTTATATTTTGAAATTAATGTCCTAGTGGGAGATAAACTCCTTAAACATCTGTTGGGTCCCTAATAAAGGCAAGCTTTTTTTTTTTTTTTTTAAATTTCATGTGGATACAAAGCATAGTCTAGATTTCAAGAACAAGATAGG